GTTGTGTCTCATTCTCAGTACATATTTACAGACACAACACTTGGTATAAGTAGTCAAAACGGCTCAGGAGCCTTGAAACCCTCCCAGAAGGGTCAGAGGAGATGAGGGTGAAGATGAAGAAGATGAAGATAAGGGGTTTTTGGGACCTCTGACTCAAATTCAGGACATGTGGTGAGGGTGGTGAGGGTGGTACTAAGGGAGGGACAGGTTTGGAAGACGGTTCTACATCGCCTGGAACCTGCCCCTGGAGGTACTGAGGCTTTCAAATCTATAGGAAATAAGTTTTAGGAGAGCTTGCTAGCACCTTCAGCTTGCCAGTGTTCCCAGAATTCCTAAAAATGCTGTTTAACATCCTTTGTTAAGGATCTCGACAGACAAGGGGGTTTAATGAGGTGTCTGTAAATATGTACTGAGAATGAGACACAACACTTGGTATAAGTAGTCAAAGCTGCTCAGGAGCCTTGAAACCCTCCTAGAAGGGTCAGAGGAGATGAGGATGAAGATGAAGAAGATGAAGATAAGGGGTTTTTAGGGCCTCTGACCCTCCAGGTTTGGGGTGGGATGAGGGTTCTGGGTACCCCCCACGTGCAGTGGGTGACTGAGGGCTGGGCTGCTCTCCTCAAGTGTGAGGTGAAAGCATTGCCAGGAGTGCCCAGAGCCCATGTGAGCAGTTATTTCCAGCCACCCTCTTGGTGCTAAAAGTAACCCCCAAAATATTCCTGCTTGGCAGATCTCAGCAAAGAGCTGCTGGGATCCTGATCCTGATCCTGCTGTGCTGCAGCAGCATCCTCAGCTGGCAGCATCTGCTCCAGGGCCTCTGGAAAAACAATACAGCCTAAAAAATCTGAGCTGCTGCTGCTTCCTGAGGAAAGGTTACACCTGTGGAGAGTTCCTGGCATTTGGAGCCACAGTAGTCCCAGAATTTGTACAGAATTGGTGCCTGTGCTGCAGGTTGGTGGTCCTGGGGGTGCTGGGGAGTCCTGGGGTAGTTGGTATAAAAATAGGAAGAAATAGCTGCATAGAGATGGAAGGAAAAGCTGTTTGCCCAGGGAGCTGCAGGAGGGCACTGCCTGCCACGGGCACTGCTCCAGGTGCTTGGGAGAGGAGTTGTGGGACTGAGGGAATTTAGGGATCTCTGAAAAGAGATTTCAAGACCCAAATGCCCATAAGTAGAGATCTTAAATCCTGTTCTTCAGCCTGATTCCTGTTTAGGGGTGAGGCACCACCGACCTGCTCAGGAACAGCTTCGGAGCAGGGCGGGAAGGGCTTAAAACCCATTGGGAAGCTGCAGGTCCTGTAGAGCTTGGAAAAGGCAGCAGCACATGGATCAGCACTGGGGGTGGGTCTGGGTAACCCAAAATCAACTGGAGATTTTTATATATCCAGAAAAATCCAGATTTAATTTTTGAGCAGCCTTGTTTGCTGGGGTGGGATTTTATACACGGAATTCTTTTGTGATGCCACTGAATTCCAACCCAAGGCAAACCCCTGCCCTGCTATTTGAGGTGCTGCCTGACTGATTTGTTGTCCCACCCCATTTTGTCCACTCAGATTTCAGCTTGTCCTACCTGTCTGCACTGAATCATCTTTATTTTTACCTCTGAGCTACCAGTGGCACATTAAAATGGTGTCTTTTCTCAAGCAGAGTGAATAATTCATTAGAAGATCATTACAAGCATTGTAATGGAAAATTGCTTTCCCAGTTGTATTTAATGATCACTGCAAAGACAAGAGCAGGAGCTAAAACAGAGTAGAAACCCAGACACCTGTAGGAAGGAGGAAAAGGGGCTGCAATGTGACTTTGGCTTCCTTGCTGCTGCATTAGCTCCCCAAATTCCATGATGGAACAAGAGGTTAAAGGGGGGCAGCTCTCTCCAGTCCCTGCTTCCAGCTCCTGTAGGATTATCCCTCAGGGACAGCTTTACTTTTAAATCTGTTCAAGCAGTGGCTTCCTCCGTGTCTCCAGGGAGACTTTTTCACCCTGGAATTGTCCGAATGGTCCAGAGGTTTTTCTGAGGTTCAGCCTCACCGTCTGTCCCTGTGGAATGTTTATCCTGGATCCTTGGCTCTGTTATATCGGAATCTTCAACCTTTCTGCTTCTTTCTTTCCCCCCTTAGTTTCTACCTTTGAACCCTCCTCTGGTTGTGTCTCAGTGGGGTGACACCCCCGTGGGGGGGTCAGAGAAGGGGTTTGGTGCTCAGTGCCCACACAGGGGTTGGCATTCCCACCTTTTAAACCCCAATGTCCATTTGCTGCTGGAAGTCTGAGCCTAAACAACCTTATTGTTGTGCCCTTCCCTTCCCTTCCCTTCCCTTCCCTTCCCTTCCCTTCCCTTCC